GGCGCTGATGATCCACAATATGATGGAAGCCACCCCTACAATCCCTAAGCGTAAGGAAGACAAGCACTTCACTGCGCCCAAGCTCAAATACTTCTAGAGGGACAGCAACAAAGCTGAAGCACTGCCTATTCCGGATTCCCTGCTTGATCTAGCAAACCCGAGGGATAAGGTAGTCATTGATTATAAGAAGGAGCTTGAGAGAATGGTCCCTATGGCTCAGCAAAACCCAGCTGGACCTTCCCAAGGGATCAAGCCGAGTGAACGTGAGAGTAAGAAGAAGAGAGCCCCGCCACAGAAACCAGTGGCAACCCGGCCTAATGATGATCAGTCTGCTAACTCTTCCGAGAGGACCCAGACTGCTGTGGGCCACCCTAATGCTGAGGACACTGCCGATGAACCATCATGCCAAGCCCCTTCTAATAAGGCTGGTGGTGAGGCCTTTGATAGCATGGCCAAGGGAAAGGAGAGGAATGATGATGAGGATGATGATGCAGATGATGATGATGATGACATGGAGGGAGTTTTGCTCAGTAACAGAAGAAGAGCTGGCAAGCAGGCCATTCCAATCAACTTCGACTCCTCATCGGAAGATTTTGAGGCTGCACTCACACCCCGACCACTCAAAGGGATCATCATAAGTGAGCAGCGCTCCAAGAAAAGAAATGCAAAGCCTGCATCATCACAGCCTAAGAAGAGGCTCAGAAAGAAAAGTGCAGTGGAGGAGGAGCTGGCACTGTACGATGACTGTGACACCTTTGTCACTATAGACCGAACCACGCCCCTAGGAGCAGGAGCTGACCTTGTCAGTTCCCGGGTAGAAGTCGCAGCATCCGGTTCAACTGCGCATGCACAGCCATCTCCCATCCACTCTCCAGTCTCCCAACAGACTAGAGTTTCAATATCTCAAGGGGAACTTACACCGACCTCACTGATTCCTTCCGAATCTGCTGAGAGACTTAGTGGTCAACAGCCCCGGACCACTACCCCCATCCGTTCTATCACATCGAGTCTAGGTGTCACCATTCCTACATTTTCACATTTCTCTAGGACACCTACACTATTCACTGCACATACAGGTGCACTCACCCTGAATGCAACGACCGGAGTGCAAACTATGATGGTCGGAAGTCCTGCTACGCCAACAATGCCTCGATCATTGAACGCAGGCCACACATCAACTATCTTCACTGATGCTGTGACAACAGTTACGACCCCTGTAACTGGAACCATTATCCCCGAAGACATTCTCGTATATCTGAATAGCTTTCTAGAGTCTACCATTAAGCCATGGGTGCATGAAGCAATAACCGCTAATGCACAAGACTCTGGAAGTACCCCAGTTGTTCAGGATATACCACCCAAACCTCAAACAACACAGCCCCCAACCATTTCCATTCCTATTTCCAAACCCTTAGCCATAGAAAACCAACAACCATCAACATCAAGGGGAACCCAGGATACAGAACTAGTATTCTCCCCTACAATGACCAAACCCAACCTAACAACCGTACCCTTCGAGGATCTTGTAGCTGAGATCTACGACCGTATACTAGACGTGGAAGAAGGCAACCTCACCCCTCTTCAAAAAGCCCTTCTCCATGCTCTAGATACACAGAACACATGCCGTGACAGTCTCCGTGGCGCTAAACGTTCACATGAGGATCCTGATGATTCGGATTCTCATGAGGGGGAGAACAAGCGCCCGCGGATACTTGAGCATGTTGCTTCTACTAGCCAACCCTCAAAGCCAAACCAACCCTCCACCTCTACCAATGAGCAACCCACTACTTCAGCCAGCCATAAATCCCTAGCCACTCTTTCTAGCATGGTCGAGCTAGACATAACATCCCGAGGTGCATCTCCTATAGATGTTAACCAAGGACGGAATGGAAGTCCTGATGATGCTACCACGAGTACATCTTCTTACTCAGGCCATCAGCTAGAACCTAGTTCGAAACTGATGTCAACGGGCAATCCTGAGGATCCCGGTGTTACACCCGACGTATCATCACCTCCGCAACAAGAACAAACTCCGTCCAGCCCCTCAGACAAACTTGAAGAAATCCTAGTTGTAACACCCCGGCCCCACCGGACCCGAGGTAGTTACTCCGGACCAATAGTACTGTCCCCACAAACCACCACGAACCTTTACCGCGCACTTTGTCCTCACTCATACGCGCCCTGAGAAACTTCCCAGGGGGTCACCCATCCCAAGACTACTCCTGAGCAAGCACGCTTAACTTTGGAGTTCTTGGGTGATGAGCTCCCTTAAAAGGAGATGCACCTCTGTTGGTATGAGTAGTACTATTAATCCGTTTATATTAAATCTCAAGTGTTACAATCACCCCCACTTAGGATCGCAACGTCCTCGTTGCGCCCTTAAATCTATCTCAATCAAATCCCAGAATCTTTTCCCCTGCTAGGTGTCTGCCCGATATCTAACGGATCAGCACACTGTCGCAGGGTTGCTCTGATACCACCTGTAACACCCCGGCCCCACCGGACCCGAGGTAGTTACTCCGGACCAATAGTACTGTCCTCACAAACCGCCACTAGCCTTTACCGCGCACTTTGTCCTCACTCATGCGCGCCCTGAGAAACTTCCCAGGGGGTCACCCATCCCAAGACTACTCCCGAGCAAGTACGCTTAACTTTGGAGTTCTTGGGTGATGAGCTCCCTTAAAAGGAGATGCACCTCTGTTGGTATGAGTAGTACTATTAATCCGTTTATATTAAATCTCAAGTGTTACACTAGTATATGACAGGTGGCCTCGTAAGTGGACTGAATGGGATGATCTGAGAATGGAAACAGAACAAGATGACATGCAACGGGATTGGATGCTTATGGAGCTTCTCAGAAGATGTGCTGAAGAGATGATTGGGCTCGACAAAGACGAGATAAAAGAAGGAGAAAAATACAAGGAACCTGAATCTGTCACTAAGCAAAAGACTACTTCGAAACCTCTGGACAGTGTCAGGATTAAGACTCCCTTTCTGGAAGAAATCAAAGAACGAATTTGGCGCACACCTGAGAAGATCAAGACCTACAGAGAACTCCGGATGCGTGACATCAATCATCTCAAAGGAAGAGACAGAGGTGGAAACTTGTACATGCTAGGACACAGATCCACGGGAAAACGACGACAGATCTTGAATCATAACCTTGCAACAAGCGGATGTCCAGTACAAACAATCCTGAAAGTAACAGAAGAATACTTGGAGAAGATCAAATTCATGGTCTTTCATCTACAAAGAACTGATGGATCAACATTCACCTGTCAAGAAAATGATTTCTTTCTGTTACATATGGACGACGTCTATCAAATGTTTTTGAGATGCAGAGAGCTACCAGTCCATAAAGATAGACTTGCAAAGGAAGGTTTTGAAGCCATAAAAAGGTTCATGATGAGACAAATTCGTTATCATGGAGGTCATGATCTTCAGATGGGCCTAGAAAGGAATTACCCCAAAGTGAACCTTACAAAGCCAGACCTTGACAGACCAGGGATAGAAGACTTTCCAGAAGATCACATCTTTGACAACCCAGTCTCGGTCATCTATCTGAATCATGAAGGAAAGAAGCGGCTTTTGTTTGTCAATGAAATAAACAAATATTGCGATGGGACACTAAAGATCATCAGAAATAGACTGCAATAAAAAAGGGAAGAACTTGTCAAGAAGTCAACAGAAGCTACAAAGGATGAACTCAGGGAGCTGGAAAGAACAGAAGATATCCTAAAAGCCATAAAGACACAGCTTGAGAACAGAAATTCACTCAGGAGCTATGAGCACGCGCTAAATCTCAGAAAGAACTATTACAAAGCTCAGAAGTGAAGAAACCCAGCAAGACGGCACTTGACCACAAAGGGGGAGATTGTTAGAACTTTTATTGTGGGTCAAGTTTGTCTGTTAAGTCTTGTTTAATAAAGTAGACTAGTTATACCATTTATGGTATTAGATTAGTAATTATTATGTAATAAATAAGGTAAAGGGAATAAGGCCCAAAAAGACCTTGGCCCAACTTCCAAGGTTTACCTAAATCGGTAACCTGTACAGCGCCTATAAATATGCGCCTTGTGTACAGGTACCGATATCGATCAATACACATTAGCCTTACACTGCCAAAAATACTTCTCGATATAATAGAAAGGCGATTTCCAAGTTCTCGACATTGCATAAATCATTCTGGGTAATCGTTCTTCTCTGTTTATCGATGAAATCCATCTAGCTGTGTGTTAGTCTGCATAAACTGGGACCAACACCTTCTTAATAAAAAAAATTAAAGAAAAATTGGAAAATTTAAAATGAGAGGAATTTGACATTTTTTTCGATTTAACTTATAATACATTACTCCGTATTAAATAAAATAGAGTCAAAGTAGAACATGTGAATAATGCAATAAGTCTAATGTTGCATTTAAAAGAGAACGAAGGTATTATATTACTACCTCCGTCCCAAATTGAGTTGCAAATTTGATTTTTCTTAGTCAAACAGTCTCGTTTTTTTCACTTAATTATGATGTCAATTTTTAATTATATTCTAATTTGGAGTTTACAACTTTGAAAAGATTTTGATGTAGTTTTTGAATATGTAAATTTTAATTATTAAAAATTGAATTAATTATTCATAGGGAGGGTTGACTTTTATTATTGGTTGACAAAAAAATGTTGACTTTGCAAAACAAATTGGGACGGAGGGAGTATGTTATAACTTTATACAACGTGTTGTATTATGATTTGATAGTGGTTTTCATTCTAATTTATTTAGATATTAAATCAGAATTTTATAAGTTATATTTTGTCTTATAAGTATGTTGATTTACATGCACTAATTAAGCACATTCCGTTAGTTTAGTCAAAATATGGACAGAAGGACCGAATTAATATGAATTACATAGATTAGGGACTAAAATGATAGATTTGTTAGTTCAGGGACCAAAATGATATGATGTCGATAGTTTAGGGACTAGTTATACATTTTAGTGTAAAATAACCATGCCCAGAATTCCCAGAAATGATTCTTTGAAGCCCCTCTTTTCTTCTTCCCATCAGGAACTCAAAAGCTGCTTCCTTTTCTACTCCTGCTGCTACTAGCTCTCAGCCTTTCAAAATGCATACCCAAATCTTTGTTATTGCTTTTCTCTTCTTCCCGAACTTCATTTTCTCAGTCAACCAAGAAGTCCTTTACCTGCATAGTGCGAAGCTCGGGTTTTCCGACCCGAGTGATGCGCTATCTAGCTGGAATGACAAGGAAGACTCGCCGTGTGATTGGTATGGTGTTCGATGTGATAAAGGGTCTGGAACTGTGTGGTCGGTCGACCTTTCCAATGCTAATATTGCAGGTCCTTTTCCGGTGGTTCTTTGCCGGCTTCAAAATTTGAGTTTTATTTCCTTGTACAATAACTCGATTAATTCGAGTGTTCCAGATGGGTTGTCGGCTTGCAAATCTTTGGAGCACCTTGATTTGGCCCAGAATTTGTTGACTGGGTTGCTTCCGGCGAGCTTGGCCGAGCTTCCTAACTTGAAGTATCTTGACCTTACCGGTAACAATTTCTCCGGGGACATCCCGGCGAGCTTTGGATCTTTTAGGAAACTGGAGGTGTTGGGTCTGGTTCAGAATTTGTTCGATGGGACGATTCCCGCTTTTCTCGGTAACATTTCGACTCTCAAACAGTTGAATCTCTCATACAACCCGTTTTCTCCGGGCCGGATCCCGCCTGAGCTTGGGAATCTCACTAACCTCGAGTACCTCTGGCTCACGAACTGCAATTTAATCGGCGAGATTCCCGACTCACTGAGTAGGCTCACTAAGCTCATAGATTTCGATGTTGCTGTAAACAGTTTGAGCGGCCCTGTTCCGAGTTGGCTCCCCGAGTTAACTAGTGCAGTCCAAATTGAGCTTTACTCGAACTCGTTAACGGGGGAGCTCCCGGCAGCTGGGTGGTCGAAGATGACGGAGCTTAGGCGTATCGACGTGTCCATGAACCAGTTGAGAGGAACTATTCCGGCGGAGCTGTGCGAGTTACCGCTCGAGTCGCTGAATCTCTATGAGAATCAGTTAGAAGGTGAATTGCCGGAGAGCATTTCAAAGTCACCTGTTCTTTATGAGTTAAGTCTCTTTCGCAATCGTCTAAAAGGAAATTTACCAAAAGATCTGGGTAGAAACTCGCCGTTACTATGGATAGATGTTTCGGACAATGCATTTTCAGGCGAAATCCCTGAAAATTTGTGCGGGATGGGTTATCTAATGGAGCTTTTGATGATCAACAACTCCATCTCTGGTGAAATACCGACCAGTTTGAGTTCTTGCCGGAGCCTAAGACGAGTACGGTTGAGGCACAATAATATCTCTGGCAATGTTCCGTCTGGGTTCTGGGGATTGCCCCATGTCTCTTTATTGGAGTTGGCAGACAACTCATTTTCTGGAGAAATCTCAAAAACTATAGCAGGTGCTGCAAATCTTTCTGCTTTGGTTTTGTCTAATAACAAATTCTCGGGCAGAATTCCAGCGGAGATTGGCTTTCTTGATAAACTGCTTCAGTTTTCGGGCGATGACAATCAGTTCTCTGGCCCTTTACCTTCAACCATGGTTAATCTCAGACAGCTAGCAACATTGGATCTTCACAACAACAATCTATCCGGTGAGCTTCCTTCTGGAATTCATTCTTGGAAGATGTTGAATGATCTGAACATAGCAAACAATGCCTTGTCTGGTAAAATTCCGGGAGAAATTGGAAGTCTGTCTGTTTTGAATTATCTTGATTTGTCAGGAAACCAGTTTTCAGGAAAAGTTCCAGTAGAGTTAGAGAATTTGAAGCTTAATCAGTTTAACTTGTCTTATAACAGTCTTTCCGGGAACATCCCATCTATGTACAATAAACAAATGTATAAGAACAGCTTTCTGGGTAACTCAAGGCTGTGTGGAGACATTGTGGGTTTATGTGATGTGAGAGATGAAGCAAAAAACACCCGTTCCTATTATTGGCTATTCCGAGCAATCTTTATACTTTCCGGGCTGGTTCTTATCATGGGGACTGTTTGGTTCTACTTGAAGTATAAGAACTTCAAGAAGGTCGAAATGGACATTGATAGATCGAAATGGACATTAGTCTCTTTTCACAAGCTAGGATTCAACGAGTATGAGATACTCGATGCTCTTGATGAAGATAACATCATTGGGAGAGGACTCTCTGGAAAGGTCTACAAGGTTGTTCTGAACAATGGGGAAGCCGTTGCCGTTAAAAAGATTGAGATTAACAAAAAGTTTGATGTAGACGTTGAGCAAGGCGGCAACTTTGTTCAAGACGATGGCTTTGAAGCAGAGATTGAGACATTAGGGAAGATTAGACACAAGAATATAGTTAAGCTCTTGTGTTCATGCATTACAAGGGATTCTAAGCTTTTGGTTTACGAGTACATGCCAAATGGAAGCTTAGGGGACTTGCTTCATAGCAGCAAAAGTGGGCTGTTGGACTGGCGTATGAGGTTTAAGATTATTATGGATGCGGCCGAGGGGCTCTCTTATTTGCACCACGACTGTTCTCCTGCAATTGTGCATAGAGATGTCAAGTCAAACAATATATTGCTTGATGGGGATTATGGTGCTAGGGTCGCTGATTTTGGCGTGGCTAAGGTGGTTGATGCAACTGATAAAGGACCCAAATCCATGTCCGGCATTGCTGGATCATGTGGCTATATTGCTCCAGGTATGAATGTTACTCACTCGCTAATTTACATCTCGCTTTGTTTTGAACATTTTTTGCCAAGTTGGGGTATCAGGGTCTTAAGTTTCTGTTATGTGATTTGTTCTTTTGTTATTTGTTGATGATGATAGTGCTGACCAGTGTAATGTTTATATTGTGATATGCAGTTATATTTTGATGGATAGAAAGATTATATTCCTTCTATTCTCATGTGAGGTTGTCTAGATTTTTTTATCAGCCTACCTGACAATTAGGTTGATCTTTTAGAACCATGATAAAACACGGGCAGTCTTGACTATCTTTTTGCACATGAGCAAGGGTTAAAGCTAGTGTTACAAAACTTGTTAAAGATAGAATTCATAATCGGGTCGTTTACTCAACTCAAATATAATGTCGGTGTCTCAATTCTCAAATTATAACAAAAGATTGAATCCAAATAATTAGCTTATGAACCAACACGTTAAGTACTTTGTATACCATACCATCATTCATGGGTGTAAATATAACAAAGAAGTTTGGCATGCATTATTGCAGAGTATGCATACACTCTGAGGGTAACAGAGAAGAGTGACATATACAGTTTTGGGGTGGTGATCTTGGAGCTGGTGACAGGGAGGCTCCCGGTGGATCCCGAATTCGGAGAAAAGGATTTGGTGAAGTGGGTATGCACCACCTTGGACCATGACGAAGAGGCGGGTTTGGATCAGGTCATTGATCCTAAGCTCGACTTTTGTAATTTCAAGGAGGAAATCTGCAAAGTGTTGAACATAGGACTCCTCTGCTCCAGCACCCTCCCCATTAACCGGCCTTCCATGAGGAGGGTGGTCAAGATGTTGCAAGAAGCATGTGGTGGTAGTGCTGGCGTCGGCAGCGGCCTCCCCAAATCAGGAGATGGCACCAAGGATGACGGTAAATTGACTCCTTATTACTATGGAGAGGATACATCTGCTTAAGAAACTGAATCCAAGTGTGTTTGGTTGGTCTTCTGATTGTAATTTTTTAACATTATTATTGGTACTTTTGGTTTGTACACCTTTTTTGTACATCTTATGTATACACTCTCCTATTTTACTTGTGTAGACGGATAATTCGTCTAAAAATATGCAAAATTTTTAGAAGTTGCGTGTGTACATGGGTAAGGTGTAAAAAAGGTGTATAAAATGGTGTACATCAAGGATGTTTTCTTTTAGACCGAAATTTGCTGGTCTGGTCTGATTTGGTCTCGACTGTTTAAGTCTGCTCTGAACTGATCTAGTCTGGTCGGGTAAATGTATAGTCTTTGTGTATTCTATAACTGTCCAAGTCTAATCTGGTCTAGTCCGTTTAAGTTTGGTGTGGGACGTAAAACAGTCCAAAAGAAAACATACAAAGAAGTTAGGGCTGAGCGTGGATCTGGGAATTCCCGTTCCGTACCGAAAACTGTCCCGAACCGTTCCAGAACCGATAGAACCGGAAAAATGTAATACCGTACTGTACCGTACCGAGATTTTTTAATAAGATGGTACGGTACCGGTTCTTAGTGAGAACCGTTCCGGAACCGTCCCGGAACCGTATTGAACCGAACCGTCTCGTACCGTACCGAATTGTCCCGAAAACTAGTGTTATAATATACTCCGTAATTATATATTATGTATAATATATTTTACCAAGTGTAAATGTTAGTGACTGTATGTCATTACAAATGTGCAATCATGCATATTCTTTGTCATGTGATGTGATACTTTTTTGTTTTTCAGTTTGACGATCAATTTTGCTTTTTAGTTTGGATGTTACTTTTCTTTAGTATAGTTTGATTATTAGTTTCATATTTAAATTTGATCACACGAGATCAATTAAATATAGTCTTGCAAGTTCTTCTCTTAAATTGTTGTAGAGTTATTTATAAATGTTAAAATCTAAAGTTTTTTATATTTCACGGGGGTTAATTATTTAGGAACTAAATAACACCGAAGAACCGTACCGTACCGGACCGTACCGAAAATTGGTACGGAACGGGACATGTTCTATATATGTGCGGGATGGTACCGGTTCTTAATTTTTAAAAGAACTGTACTTTGGGACGGGACAGGTTTTTCGAAATAACCGTCCCGTACCGTCCCATGCTCACTCTACAAAGAACGGTCCAATTTATATTTACCCAACCATGGGAACCTCTCCTGTAGTAATTCTCTTCTAAAGTTTGAACAAGCCATGTGTGCATTTAAGGCTGTGTACTTTGGTTCTGACCTTGAGGTGAATCTATTAAGGTACATACTCCTCTCTGTAACCTATCTTTCTCACAGCATAGTTCTGATCTTTCCTCACTGCTCAGGTAAAGTTGACCGGACCAAACATAACTGTGTCACCCACTCTAAGGCTTACCGCAACCGGGAGGTGAAAAAGCCATATTTGGGCTTTTCACCCCCAAAAACTTGTGCAACCCATTGTATGAGGAGGTCTCAAAGTGGATATATGACTTCGGGAATTAGCTTCATGATTCACTCGGATGTCTTGGAGAGAGGAAACAAAGAGGGCTGCTACATTAAAGAAAAAGGATGGGTCCCATGATGAATATTAATCCCAATTATCTTTAAACTCTTATAACTTTTTTATTTATACTCCATTTTTTTCAAAATATATATCAAAATTTATAACTTTTAATGATCTTTCATATGACACCAATATCACTTATAAAAAATTTAAAAAACAACCTGAAATTTTATTTGCTGAAGATTTTCAGACCCAATATTTTCTTTAAATATATTCAAAGTGTTAAAATTAAGATCCTATAGTTAAAATATTTTTTACTTATTTTATTTTTTATTTTTTTTAAATAGGTCTAATGAAACAATAACAAAAATCAAACTCTGAATTTATTTATTTTTACATCGGAGTGTTTGACTTTGTTGAGGTTTATTGCTTCAACCCCCGGGTTCAACACATAAGCCCAAGAGTTTCGAGTGGAGTGTGTATGAATAAACTAGCCCAACTAACAAGTGAGATGGATTAAGAAACAGTAAGTAGCAAGTAAATGATTAGGTAATATTAATCTGTTAATAACTCCCCAATACAATACTTTTTGCTAAAGGCTCATCGGCCGTCCGTCTTACGTGGCAGTAGAAGTGTTGCGGGTAAGAAGGTTATAAGCTAGAGTGCTAAGAATAGAAAGTTGCTAACCCTTTACAATGAAATAAATGCTGCTATTTATACCACCAATGAGCAGCTGGCTATGCTGACGTGGAGGCTTGCGAATGGCTGGTGCTCCAACCATCAAATCTTCAGCATTAAATGCGTTTCCCGCCAGGATTTGGGTTTCCCGCCTAATTAGTGGAAACGTTCGTCCAGCTGGGGGAGGTGAGTCGCTTCCGGTGATATCGCAAAGGGTAGTGGGCCGTTCGTCCCTTGGCCTTTGTGGATTGGCCATATGGATTGAATTGCCTCCAGTGGTTATGGGCTTGCTCTAACGACGTTCGTCGTCATCCTAGTGGTTTGTGGGCCTGACTCACTGTCAAATGTGTAGCCGTTCGTCGGAATGGGCTGGTAAGCCAAAGCCTTAGTCATGACGTTCGTCCTTTCCAAGTTGCCTGTCAGCTTAGCCTACCCAGTTCTGTCCGGACGTACGTCCGAATGAAAAGGTAAATGGGCCGAACTTTTACTTGGGCCATTAACCCAACATGCTTTTTAAATCATAATAATTTGCAAAAAAGATTTAGAAAAAAATTGATGTATAATGATAAAATGAAGGCTATAATTACAAAAAAATTTAATGAGTGAATATATTGACGGTATTGGGTTGCAGGAAAAATTGAATTGACTGAGTGAATACATATAAAATGGTGGTAAATTTAATATATTGACGGAGCTGAGTTGCGGTTAGCCTAAATAAAAGGATGCATGTAGGCTTTGGTACGATTCTGGATAAAGGTTCAAGTCAAACCAAAACTTTAAATGGGTACTTCAATCCGGGTTTTGAAGAACTTGAACCGCTTTGAATCGGACTAAAGTAGAACATTGTAAAATTGTCGAGAAAAGAGGTAAATAAGCCCTCCAACTATTTGCAATTCTGCAATCAGGCCCCTGAACTTGAAGAATTGCAGATACACCCCTCAACTCATTGAAAATGATGCAATCATATCCTTTTTTACCTATTGGTGGGAGGTAAGAAGATGAAATATTACCGGCACCAGCAGGTAAAAAGGACCTGATTGCATCAATTTCAATGAGTTGAGGGGTGTATCTCTTCAAGTTCAAGGACCTGATTGTAAAATTGCAAATAGTTCAAGGACTTATTTGTCTCTTTTCTCTTTCTCTAAAATTGTCTCTCCGCAGAAACATTTGAGTAGTTGGTGTAATTGTATTACTGATGCATCTCCTACAGTGGTGTTTTATGATTTTGCTATACACTTTACGGTATAGAGTGTACTCAATACTGTGGAAAGTATGAGTGGCAACTGCCAATAATTAAGATTGGTCGACAATTGTCCCTTTCATCGGTAGTTTAGGCTAGGGCTACACAAGAATAACCTGAACTCGCATAACCCGTCCGATCCAATTCCACTCGACCCTATTTAATCGGGTATTTGATTTTTAAAAATATTCATGGGTTGAATATGTTTGAACCCGCACCTAATGGGTAGGGTTGTGGAATTAAAATCTCAAACCCGATAGTACCCGACCCGGCCAAAGTTCATTTTACTATTATTATGATACAACGTTTTCTTGTATAATTTCATTTTAAGACCAATGTGCTCTATCTAGGACTTTATGATATTAGAATTATAATTAAATATTTATCATTTTGACTAGGTCATTATTATATATTTACGTTTCCTTCTAAATGAACTTCCTTTACGGAAGGATGTTTTAATACCATTACCTAATGTTTTTGCTTATAAAAGATACGAGTACTTGTATTTGTTTGTGTGTTTTGGAAACAAGTTAATCGAGTTTTAAATTGGTTACATTAATTTCCCACATGAAAGATGCAACCCGAAGTGATTTTTTCCCCAATACCCGACACTACCCGACCCGTTCATGCATGGTTTACCAACTTATTTTGCATACCGCGGGTTGGTTAATAGCCAACCCGAACAAATCGGGTATGCCCAAAAAATATAGCAAACCCGACCCAACCCGCCTGATGTGCAGCCCTAGTTTAGGCTAAAGGCGCATATAGATCATACATGTCTAAGTGCCACCAGACTTCAATTGGTTTTGATGTTATTGGTTTAATAATTATACCAAGTATTTCTTGGTTATCGTCTAACGCGTCACGAGCTATTACTCTGTTTCAGGATATTTTGAAAATAATGTTGCAAGTAATTTCTCCAGAGTTAGATGATCAAAAAGTCAACTTTGAAGTTTTTTGTCAACACGTTGATTTTAGAGCGATAGCGTCGACAATTACCCCATATCAAAATTATGAGATATGTGTGGCTATTTAAAATTATAAATTATGCGTGGACAAATACTCACAGATAATCACGTAGGTCATTATGTAAAATACAAATAGGATGGTTAAAAATAGGGAAAGTTCCCGAAATAGGACTAAAACAGTTTGAAAATTCCAAAATATGACTGTCATGTTTTTTATTCCCAAAATAGGAGTAATTACTGTCAAGTTTGAAAATATTGTCATGTTTAAGGTCTGGTACTGCCAAAACATGGCAGTAATTAGTCCTATTTTGGGAATAAAAACATGTCAGTCCTATTTTGGAATTTTCAAACCTTTTTAGTCTTATTTCGGGTAAATTCTCTTAAAAATATGAAAAAGTAGGTCAACATGTAAAACAGAAATAACATTATTGAAAGAGAAAAATAATTAAAATACCCCAAACTTTGAAAGAGTATGAGATAAATAACCCAAACTTGCATGTGTAATTTAAATACCCCAAACATTACACAAAAAAGTTATTTTTGCATCATGATCATATATTAATTTAAAATTTGAAATAATTACATATTTATGACTAATATAAAGATTGTTTACAAAATGTGACTAATTTAATGACTAGAGTAGTAATGGAATCATAGTAACTTATGTTGAGTTTTTAAACTTAAGTTATCATGACACTATATTACAATAATTATTAGTCATATTTTTGTAAATATGTTTTATTTTAGTAATATTTCTGAAAAAATCGTTTTTTTATATGTTCATAGTGTTAACATAACTCTTAATATTGAAATTACATATGCAAATTTGGAGGTGTTTACCTCACACACCTTCAAAGTTTGAGGTATTTTAATTATTTTTCCCT